CACCCCCTTCCTCCCTAAACCCAGCGTCATGAAGTGAAGTGCGATTTTGATCATGCATATCACGCGTTCATGCGCAGCTTGTCCCTACCCCAGTCCCTCACCTACCCAGAGCGCTTTTCACCAGTGGCTGACGTAGTGGCAGCCTGGCAGCTTGCAGTCCTTGAGCTTCGGGTACGCTTTCATCCAGAGCTTGAACTGGAGAGTGTGACCTTGGCCTGGCAGCTTACAGTCCTTGGGATTCGGGTACGCTTACAACCAGAGCTTGGAGCATGTGACGTTTGCCTGACAGTTTGCAGTCCTTGAGCTTCGGGTACGCTTGTACCCAGAACTCGAAGAATGTGACGTTTGCTAGACAACTTGCAGCCCTTGAGCTTCGTGACGTTTGCCTGGCAGCTTGACAGCTTGTAGTCCTTGAGCTTCGGCTACGCTTGCAACCAGAGCTTAGAATTCAAGCCAACAGCACCACGCCAAGATGACCACGCAGATCGGCACCACACACGCAAGCAGTACCGGTTTCCTCTTTGGTCATTTTGTTTTCAATTTCACCAAAAACGAGTCCTGTTCTATCTCACCTACCTCTGACGCTTGGCTTGGAGCGAGCAAAAGAATTGAGACCAACTGCGAGTCGACTTCCTTCATCCATCATGTTAACATTTCATTATTTGAAACATGCATGTCTGAGCTCGTTTGCATGTCATCATGTTTCACATGTGGTCCACTTCCAACAGAGTTTCTTCTTCCTAACATACCTCATGATGACGTTGCGCTACTACGCCAACAAAAGGTTGATGGTCTGCTTCGGGTACGCTTACAACCAGAGCTTGGAGAATGTGAAGTTTGCCTGGCAGCTTGCAGTCCTTGAGGCAACCAGAGCTTGGAGAATGTGACGTTTGCCTGGCAGCTTGCAGTCCTTGAGATTCGTGACGTTTGCCTGGCAGCTTGCAGTCCTTGAGCTTCGGGTACGCTTACAACCAAAGCTTGGAGAGTATGGCGCTTGCCCGGCAGCTTGCAGTCCTTGAGTTCCGGGTGCGCTTACAATCAGAGCTTACGTTTGCCTGGCAGCTTGGCGGAGACCCAGTTGCCCAACACCTTGGACCTGAATGTGACGTTTGCCTGGCAGCTTGCAGTCCCTGAGTTGCGTGACGTTTGCCTGGCAGCTTGCAGCCCTTGAGCTTCGGGCACGCTTACAACCAGAGCTTGGAGAATGTGACGTTTGCCTGGCAGGAACATTTGAAGCATGAATGCGCACATGCCCGGCAGCTTGCAGTCCTTGAGTTCCGGGTGCGCTTACAATCAGAGCTTACGTTTGCCTGGCAGCTTGGCGGAGATCCAGTTGCCCAACACCTTGGACCTGAATGCGACGTTTGCCTGGCAGCTTGCAGTCCCTGAGTTGCGTGACGTTTGCCTGGCAGCTTGCAGTCCTTGAGCTTCGGGCATGCTTACAACCAGAGCTTGGAGAATGTGACGTTTGCCTGCCAGGAACATTTGAAGCATGAATGAGCACATGACTCATGACATGGGGCATGCGAGGTTGACATTTGATGTCTCATGTTGCACTCCATTCAGTTGCGTTTTCTAACCCTAGACCCTAAGTCATCTTCTACCACATCGCCACGGTGTTCGACTTTGGTGTCTTGCTGGAGCATGACATTCCCCGGAAGAGCATCAATGTGATGCCCATATGGCTTGTGTGACGTTTGCCTGCAGTCCGTGAGCTTCGGGTACGCTTGCAACCAGAGTTTGGACAATGTGACGTTTGCCTGGCAGCTTGCAGTCCTTGAGCTTCGTGACGTTTGCCTGGCAGCTTGCAGTCCTTGAGGCAACCAGAGCTTGAAGAGTGTGACGTTTGCCTGGCAGCTTGCAGTCCTTGAGATTCGTGACGTTTGCCTGGCAGCTTGCAGTCCTTGAGCTTCGGGTACGCTTACAACCAAAGCTTGGAGAGTATGGCGCTTGCCCGGCAGCATGCAGTCCTTGAGTTCCGGGTGCACTTACAATCAGAGCTTACGTTTGCCTGGCAGCTTGGCGGAGATCCAGTTGCCCAACACCTTGGACCTGAATGTGACGTTTGCATGGCAGCTTGCAGTCCCTGAGTTGCGTGACGTTTGCCTGGCAGCTTGCAGTACTTGAGCTTCGGGCATGCTTACAACCAGAGCTTGGAGAATGTGACGTTTGCCTGGCAAGAACATTTGAAGCATGAATGCGCACATGACTCATGACATGGGGCATGTGAGGTTGACATTTGATGTCTCACGTTGCACTCCATTCAGTTGCGTTTTCTAACCCTAAACCCTAAGTCATCTTCTACCACATCGCCACGGTGTTCGACTTTGGTGTCTTGCTGGAGCATGACATTCCCCGGAAGAGCATCAATGTGATGCCCATATGGCTTGTGTGACGTTTGCCTGCAGTCCGTGAGCTTCGGATACGCTTGCAACCAGAGTTTGGGCAATGTGACGTTTGCCTGGCAGCTTGCAGTCCTTGAGCTTCGTGACGTTTGCCTGGCAGCTTGCAGTCCTTGAGGCAACCAGAGCTTGACGAGTGTGACGTTTGCCTGGCAGCTTGCAGTCCTTGAGATTCGTGACGTTTGCCTGGCAGCTTGCAGTCCTTGAGCTTCGGGTACGCTTACAACCAAAGCTTGGACAGTATGGCGCTTGCCCGGCAGCTTGCAGTCCTTGAGTTCCGGGTACGCTTACAATCAGAGCTTACGTTTGCCTAGCAGCTTGGCGGAGATCCAGTTGCCCAACACCTTGGACCTGAATGTGACGTCTGCCTGGCAGCTTGCAGTCCCTGAGTTGCGTGACGTTTGCCGGGCAGCTTGCAGTCCTTGAGCTTCGGGCATGCTTACAACCAGAGCTTGGAGAATGTGACGTCATCTTCTACCACATCGCCACGGTGTTCGCCTTTGGTGTCTTGCTGGAGCATGACATTCCCCGGAAGAGCATCAATGTGATGCCCATGTGGCCATATGGCTTGCGTGACGTTTGCGAGCTTTGGGTACGCTTGCAACCAGAGTTTGAACAATGTGACGTTTGCCTGGCAGCTTGCAGTCCTTGAGCTTCGTGACGTTTGCCTGGCAGCTTGCAGTCCTTGAGGCAACCAAAGCTTGGAGAGTGTGACCACGTCTTCCAGCAGCAGTACGACATCCACGACAGAACAGCAGGGAAACCTCGACAAGTACGTGGACCTGGATTTCCTGTGTGATTGAACGCGCAGACAACGCCCCGAAAGGGGTGTGTGTGGCACACCGCTGTACATGCGGGTTTGTGAACAAGCAGGAGCATGTTGTGATGATGATGAAGTTCGTGATTTTGAGTACATCAACATGTTTTCGTTCGGAAATCAGCAGGGGGCCGAGGAGAGTGTGGACTGGGGTGTGGGGGTCCTCGGCCAACGAAGACGCCCCCACACCCCACCCACACTCTGTGTAAACGTACCTGCGCTTCAACATTTCTTTTTTCGTTTTGCATGATGCATGGCTGAACACTTGGTGACAACGCAGATTTTGCATAAAGCATGGATGAATTCTTTGAGTTTGACGTTTGACACGGAGTTCTGCCAGAACTTGGAGGCAATCCGACTGCTCAACACCTTGCAGACGTTAACGTTCAGCGCAGAGTTCCATCAGAGCTTGGAAGGGGTCCAGCTGCCCAGCAACCTGCAGACGTGGACGTTTGGCGTGCGGTTTTGCGTCTTTCCAACCAGAGCTTGGAGGAGATTTAGCTGCCCAACGCCCTGCCGATGCTGAAGTTCGGTGCAAAGTGCTTGGCGGAGATCCAGCTGCCCAACACCTCGCAGACCTGGAGCATGTGAAGCATAAGCGTGTGGAGCAGGAAGTGGTGCATGAGCATGTTGGAGTGGTTGAGCACGCACAGTGTGTGAGCATGTGGACGGGATGAACAGACATGAGTGATCGAGCATGACTAGCGTTTGAACATGTGGAAGAGCTGAGCAGACATGAGTGATTGAGCATGTTCGGTGTTTGAGCATGTGGTGGAGATGAGCAGCTTTGAGTGAATGAGCATGAGCAGTGTGAGAGCGTGTGAATGGCGTGATTCACGTGCAAGTGTGGGAAGTTTTACTTACTCACATAAAGCTCCATTCGTGAAGTTCTTTGCCATCTCCATGGATGATCGCCTCGGTGGCTTGCTAGAGCATCTCTACCTTCGGAGCATCTCCATCTACGCTTTATTGGAGACTCGTCTCCTATAGCTTTATAGACACACAATGTTTCAAAAGTTGTCTGTCACTTTTGAAACTCGCTTTTCGGATCTTTGTAACCTGGGAAGCTACTTCCCTCGTATAGCAACTTGCGTGCATCATGCTTTTAACATTTGCTTGTCATGACGCCGCTTGCAGTATTTGGGGAACTTGTGAGTATCATGATTTTTAAGAGATTGAGAATTTTTCAACCTTGAGGTAAGGCTCTGCATTTTGACCTTGTCTGCATCGTCAAGCTGTGGGCTGAGAGCATTTGAGATAGACAGAGAGCCTGAAAAAATTCTTTCCTGGGTCCAGTTCTTGCGTAACCTTGTGGGTCCTCAACAGGCTCTTCTTTTCCGAACGGGGCCCCCTTTCAACAAGTGCCCTTAGGGCCCGTGCAAGCCACCCCGCGGGGGTGGCGGATGCTTTCCTCCCCCAGTGGGAGCAGCGATTCCGGGGCCTCTGAGCCTCTCGCGCCCTTTGCGCCCACAGCTTTTGTTGCACTTCGCTTGCGCCCACGTTCCTTCTACTTCGAGCGCCTTCTTGAATATTCCCAAGAAAGCCCCAATTTGTACACATACATCTTGGAGAGTAACCTCCGAGGCGTTCTACTCAGCCGCTCCGACGGGGCTCGTGTGCTCCTCTTTCTCCCTCCAGGTTCCTGGGCTGCCCTCGTGGCCGTCGCGCACTGGCCTCATACTTGTCTGCGGATTCTTTTGCCGCTGGCTTCTTGAGTTCTGCTCGGCCCTCAGCGCTTCAGGGTCCCTTTTTGGGTTGATTAGGGGGTTTTTCTTGGGACCATGAAGCGTAACCTTGAGGAGGCCTACGAACAGCATCTCGAGTACCTCCTTAAAGGGTCCAAAACCAGGTTCGTGCAGCCCTGGGACAGGTCCCAGATTCTCAACCCACCAAGCATCCTGCCAGGCCTCCCTCCCTACCAACGGTGGGGCGTCGGGCTCTCGAGTGCACCCTTGGGGTCTTCTGCTCCCCTCCCCACAACACCTCCTGTGCCGGCCCCTGCGCCCAGTATTCCGTTTGCAAAGTCCAAAGGGACCCCTTGGCATGCTAAGCAGACAGAAAGCAGATCCGCTGCCATTGCCAAATGGAGTGGCATAATGCTGGCACACGGCGAGCACTTCGGGGTCGTGGAGAAGATTGCGGTGGATGCATCCGGTGGTGAACCTCAGCAGTTGTCTTCGGTTCTACTTGACATTTTTGCTTTGAAGGCGAGCGCCACCCTGCATGGCCGAGCGGGGCCAATTCTCAGGTACTTGAAGTTCTGTAAAAGGGAAGGCCAGCCGCCTTTCCCATTCAGGGAGGACCTTTTGTACCGCTTCGTCAAGGAGTACTGCGCCAGGCAAGCCCCTACTTTCGCTCGCAGCTTCCTGAGTTCGGTGGCTTTTTGTCGGCATGTCCTTGAATGTAAGTTTGAAGATGTGTTTTCGACCCGCTTGACTGGTGCTTGCAACGCTCTGTACTTGAACAAGAGAAAGCAGGTTCAGAAGCCGCCGCTCAAGGTCTCACACGTCAAGGCCTTGGAAAGGATCGTCACCGGCTGGGGTGACTTCAGTGGGTCGGACAGATATGCTGCCGGATGTTTCCTGTACGCCACCTATGCTCGTGCGCGGTTCTCCGACATGCAAAACAGTGGCGCTATCACCAAGGATGTTACCAATCTGCCCGATGGTGGAGTCAGGGGCTTCCTTGAAGCTTCTGTGTGTCGAACGAAGACGGCTTACACCCTCGAGCGGAAGACGCGTTACCTTTCCATGTGCGCCCCGGTTCAGGGCCTTCTCGATGAGTCGTGGGCGATTGCGTGGTTGGACATCGCCGAGCTTTACGGCCCAGGCTGGTCTGAGGACTCGCCCCTCTTGCCCGCCCCCATGGACGGGGGGGGTTGGGCCTCATCGCCGATTGCCGTTGGGATGGGAGCCAAGTGGTTGAGGAGCTTGCTGTATAAGGCTGGGGAGGACGTTGCTACAGTCAAGCTTCTTGGCACGCATTCCATGAAGGCCACTGGCCTCAGCTGGGCTGCAAAATGGGGGGCCAGCAAGGAAATTCGCTTGATTCTGGGGTACCACAGTGCCTCTCGGGCGGACAGCGACGTCGTGTACGGCAGAGACAACGTCGCCCCGGCACTAAGGCAGTTCGATCAGATTCTGGAGGACATTTCCTTCGACAAGTTCAGACCCGACTCCACAAGGTCAGGGATGTTCACACCGGAGCGCCCGGCTGCACCCGAGGCCCCCCCGGATGACGTCTCGGAGTCAACAGAAGGCAGTGAAGACGAGGAGCATCCAGACTTGGAAGAAGAGGAGCAGGCCGTCGACGAGCTTGTTGGTCCGTGGCAACCCGAGCCTGGCTTGAGGGAACGGCTGGATGAGGCAGAGGTTTTTCGTCATCGAGTCAGTCGCTTCATCCATGTTGTTTCGTCGGAGGAGGGCACTATGTTCCGTTGCGGCCGAGCGATCACCTCGTCATATTCTAAGTGCGATGATATACCGCAAGTTTTGTATCCGTTTTGCAAGCAGTGTTATCCAAGATCTTCTGAGGGACCAGTGTGATGGATCGCAGACTTGGGGCGCCTTTTGGGTGATGCCAGGGCTTGCGAACCACCCCTGGCAGGAGGAGAGGGCCTGGGGCGTCATTGACGATGCCAGGCTCGTGCTCAGGGGCGCAAAGGCGATGCCGAGCCAAACGTGTTCTTTTTGCCGAGAACGAGAAAAGGAACGCAAGCTTACAGAGATGGCAAGGTGAGCACCCGTCCGAGTTTTGACTATCATGCTGTATGCGTGCGGTGGATTTCGGCAGCCGAGTGAGCACGTTTTGGCTTGATCCCGTCAGGTGCAGCTAGGAGGATGGCCGCTTCTTACTCGGACAGCCAGAGTGTCTTCAATGCGAGGGTAGATGCCAGCGGACTCACAAAGGAGGATGCCACGAAAATCAAAGCCGCGGTGTCTTCACTGAGACAGCTGGCGTTCATCTCCAGCTTCACCCCAGGTCAAGCCGATGAATCCCCGTTGATGGCCGCACTGAAGCTCATGCTTGGGAGGGATGCGGAACTTGGTGTCCAGGCCAGCTTCCGAGCCCTGTACCACGAGTCCTACGCCGTTGTCACTTCTGAGCTGCGCCAAAAGATCGAGAAGTCTGAAGAGCCAGCAAGCAGGCGCTTGACACAACCCGAGCGAGCCGAGAGGTTCGAGAAGCAGAAAAAGAAGCTCGTTGGAGTCTCCATCAAGGGCTTGAGCGAGCCTAGCGAGGCCTTGGTAGACAGGGCCGTGGCTTGCTATGAAAACAACGAACTGCGCTATCTGTCTTGGGAAATATGTACTTCAAGGGAGCAAGAAGTGGGCTCAGACCGACGCCGTGACACCCGCTTCACCGTCGACGAGCACACTGGGCGTCTGAAGGTTGAAAACAAGGATGCGGAGCAGAAAGCGGTCACATCTTCCGAGGTTCATGTCATGCAGGCGTTGCAGCGTCGCTCCCTTGCCATGGACCAAGCCAACCTTGTCGAGTACGCGACCATGCAACAGTGGAGTGATCGTTTGATGCGTGCACGCATGCAAGAAGCCCCGGCTGGGTATGTTCGGCCAACCTGGGCCCAACTCGTGGCTGCAGACAAGAAGCTCTTCAGCGAGTTGCGGGACTTGACCCGTGACGGAGTGCAATCCTCTGGTGGAGCCAGGCCCTTGGACACGCACCTCCCAACTGTCATGAATTCTTTCGATGTCGTGTGCTTGATGCAGCCGCTTCCTTCTGCTTCTTCTCGATCCCTTGATGAAGGGAAGGAGTTGGAGCGACCCGAGCGCCCCGGTCCCTACGGCCCCCGCAAGCCTCGCAATCCCAAGGGCCAGGGCAAGGGCAAAGGAAAGTCCAAAGCTCCCGGGATGCCAGCGCAAATGGTGGCGTGGGGGTGCGTGTCTGCCACGAAGAAAGGAAATCCGTACTGCTACGGATTCCAGCTCGGCACGTGTGCCAATGAGGTCAAGAACAATGCGTGCCAGAGGGGCCTCCACGCATGCGCCATCCCGAAGTGTGGGCAGCATGGCCACGGCGCTTCTGCTTGCCCGAAGCGGAGCAAGGCTCAGTCGGAGTGACTAGGGCCCCAGTCAGTCGAGTTTGGTGACCCTGGACCCTTGCATTTTGCGGGTCAGGGACAGCCTGTGCAGGATGCCGCTGAGCAACCTTGCAGCAATCTCAAGATTTCTTCTGGATCGGATGCAGTTTGGCAACCGACCCCCGGTGCAGCGAATGCCGAAGTGCAATCACTGCCGCGTGACAGTCCGAAGCTTTCTGGTGGATCGGATGCTAGCCGGCAACCGAACCTCCAGGCCCTGCGGATCGCTCCCGCCCCTGAGGGCGAGGCGACCCCAAGTCAATCTTCTTCTAGTCCCAAATCTGCCACCCTTTTGCATGCCATTGAGACCTTCGATTCACTCCCCGATGTTGCCGTTTCACGCACTCCCCATGCCATAAGGGATAAGGTTCAGAAGTCCTTCTATTCGGGGATGTACCGCCGGGGCCCCCTTGTAGGCTTGCGATCTTCGGTCACCCAATTCCCCGAGGCTGTCAAGGTGATCACCCGACTGATTGCGGAGGTGGCCCCCGCTCACCAGTTCAGCAGCTTTGTTATCCTTGAGGGATCCGAGTTGGGAATTCACCGCGACGCCCAGAACGCTTGCCTGCCCAACCTTGTAATCCCCTTGACCCGCTTTGAAGGAGGCGAGCTCGCGGTCGCGGACCCCGAGGGACATGTGGTTTCTCATGGAGGTCAGTCATTCCGTGCGCGTCTTTGTGATTTGGGACGGGGTCCCATTGCCTTCAATGCGCAAGGGTTGCAGCATGCAGTGATGCCGTTCAAGGGCCGCCGCCTTGTGTTGATTGCTTATTGCCTCAAAAATGTTGGATCACTCGATGGGGCCTCTTGTCGTGCCTTGCGCGCTTTGGGCTTCCGACTTCCAACTAAGGAGCCGCCTCCACGCACACTGCCTGCAGTTGTCACTGGTTTCCCTGACCTTAGGCCTTCGGGGTGTAGTTCCCCTAGCCCCTCGGGTCACCCCGCCAGCCCTGACACCGCAATGCAAGAAGCCGCCGCCTCGGAAGGGCCCCCTGGGCCTTCGACTGCCATGACCGACTCAACAGCCTTGCCGGCCGTCCGGCCGCAAAAATTGATGTTCCTCGAGTTGTGCTGTGGGTCCGCTGGCCTCTCCGCGGCGTTTCGAGCCCTAGGGTTTCAGGTCTTGGCTGTCGACCATCCTGGCAACCGCCATGTTCCTTTGGTGCATTGTGTGCATCTTGACTTACGCTTGGAGTCTTCGTGGGGCTACCTTCGCCGGCTTGTGCAGGCCCGGCAGGTGTTCCTCATTCACATTGCGCCTCCCTGTGGCACGGCCTCGCGGGCACGCGGAATCCCGATCAAAGGGCAGCCATCCCCGCCTGCCCTTCGCACTGAGGCCTTCCCTGCGGGGCTGCCCGGCCTTTCTCCCTCGTGGCAGGCCAAGGTCGACTCTGCTAACTCGATATACCGTCACGCTGCGCGTTTCTGTGCTTGGCTGCTTGAGGAGGCACCCCACACTCACTTCTGCGTGGAGAACCCTGCTCGCTCCTACATGTGGTTGTTGCCTGAGTTCCTTCACTTGCGTCCTCGTTGTTCCGTTGTGCCTTATGACGCCTGCATGCACGGGGGCGCGCGCGCTAAGCATCAGGAGCTGTGGACCTCTCTGCCCGAGTTGTCCGCCCTTGCCCGCCAGTGCGACAACTCCCACCCTCACCGCCCGTGGGGCATCCTTCCTTCCGGGGATTTCTCAACTGCCGATGAAGCCGAGTATCCCGAGGTGTTTTGCACTAGGTATGCTTCCGCGGCCTCGCTGGCCCTGGGTGCCTCTCATGCTATGCCTTCTCCGTCCGGCCTCTCGAATGAGTCGGCCCGATCGGCCACACACAAGCAGCCACGCACATCTAAGGCTGTTGTCTTGATCGATGAGTACCATTACCAGGTCACTGTCCCCCTTCCGTCCGGCCAGTTGCCTGCGCTTGATGACAAGAACTGCCTGTGCGCTGCTTTGGGCCCCGTGCCTGTCGGTTCTAAGGTTCTCCGGGTTAACTTTGAAGGGGGGGTGGTTTTCCCGAAGCGCCCTCGACCCGACAGGAATCTGGCAGATCAGGTTTTGATGGCTGGCCACTCTGCTGTGGCATCAATCACTTGTGGTGTGTACCGGGACCCCTTGCAGTTTGCCAAGCTTTCCCTTACCCTAACACACCCCTTTGACGTAGCCACAGCCCTACCTGACCAGGCCTTGACCGTTCTCGCCAGGGTGCTCCTCGATGGTCCTTTGACTGTTGTTCGACGCAGGTTGGACCTCTACCTCACCTGGAGGAAGTGGGCTCAGGAGTTGGAGGGGCGCGAGGAACAACTGCACGCGTCCCTCCACCCTTCCGTGGCAAGCGTGGTAAGAGGTAAGAAGCTCCTCCTCCTTGATAGGATTGCCAAATCCTTGGATTGGCCCGACGAGCACTTGCACCACGACCTCACGCATGGTTTCCGGCTTGTCGGGGAGGAAAAGCCTAGCGGTGTTTTTCCTCTGGACCCTAAACCGGCAGAACTGACTGTGGACGGCTTGATGGAACAGGCTGAGGTCTTGAAGCCTCTCTTGTGGGATAAGATAGCCCAAAGCCCGGCAAATCCTCATGAGCAAGAGCTCTTCGACATCACGCATGCTGAGTCTTCGGAAAAGGGGTGGCTGGACCCAGCTCGGTCCTGGGACGAACTCGAAGACTACTTCAAGGGCTCATGGGTCCCTGCCCGTCGATTTGCAGTGGAGCAAAGAGGGAAGCTAAGGCCCATCGATGACTTGGCCGAGAATGGGGTCAACAGTGCCTTTGCCCCTTGCGACAAGCTCACGCTCCGAGCCATCGACGAGATTGTTTGGACTGCAGCCTTCATCATGCGCGCCCTGATTTGCAAAGCCTATGTGCATGTCCCACTCTCCACGGGGGAGGTGATCTCTGGTCCGCTCCATCCGTTCTGGGCCTCCAACACCTCGCGGGCACGTCCGCTTGTGAAAACGGTGGATCTTAAATCCGCCTACAAGCAGCTTCCCCTTCACCCGTCGGACCACCGTCTGTGTGTCGTGAGCTTGCGCAGACCGTCTGATTCCCGTGTGGTGGGGTATGTCTCAAAGGTGTTACCTTTCGGCGCTTCCGCCAGCGTCACGGCATTCAACAGGGTGGCCCGACTGCTCCAGAGAATCCTGCAGGAAGCCTGGGTAATGACAAGCAATTACTTCGATGATTATCCCCTGCTGGAGTTGTCAGCACTTGCCGGGAGTTGTGAGAAGACCGTGCACAACATCCTTTCCCTTCTCGGCTTTACCCGAGCCGCTGACAAGGAGGAAGGCTTCGCTCCTTCTGCAAACCTCTTGGGTGTCACCCTAGACCTGTCTGACCCCACCCTTAAGCATGTCAGAGTTGCAAATCGCGAGGACAAGTGCACCGAGATGTCCGCCTCCATCGACCAGGTGCTTGACAAGGGTTTTCTTAAGGCCTCCGAGGTCGCATCTTTGTTCGGACGCATTCAGTTCATGGAAGGCCAGCTGTTGGGGAGGTTGGGGCGTTTAGCCCTCATGGAGCTTAGGTCCCTGTGCTCTTCAAATGGGGAGTTGCGTCTTGGCAAGTTTGAGTGCGATGCCTTCCAAAACCTTAAGCAGCGCTTGGTTTCGGGCCCCCCTCGGGCAATCCCCACGGCGATACCGAGAGGGTGTGCTTGCGTCTTCACCGATGGGGCCTGCGAGTTTGAAGACGGTCATCCTGTCTGCACCATAGGCGGCATCCTTTACCACCACCATGAGGGAAGTTGGAACACCCGCTTCTTCGCGTGCAGGATGCCCGCCGCTCTTGTTCAAAAGTGGAGCAATGCCGGCAAGCGCCATTTGATTGGACCCGTTGAGTTATTTGCAGTTGTCGTCGCCAGACGACTATGGGGGTCTTACTTGAATTCCTCAAGGGCCTTGTTTTTCGTGGACCACTCAGGTGTTCATGCCGCCTGTGTGAGTGGGACCTCCAGGGACACTGTGTGGCGATCACTTCTTGTCGAGTTTGAGCGGGCCGATGCAGTGCCCATGATTGGTTGGATAGCACGTGTACCAAGTCCTAGCAATCCTTCGGACGCTCCCTCAAGGGGCTCGTCAAACTTTCCTTTCTGGGGCACTTGCTCTCGTGATCACCCTTCATGCTGCATGTCAGGCGAACTCCTGAGCCCGCTTGAGTTGAAGAGGGATGTCTAAGGCGCGCTCACTCGTGTACGGTGATGCGTGACCTTGGAGGCCCTGGGAGGGCTTTTGGATTCTCCCGACTTGTGGCATTGCCATCGAAGAAAAAAAGGAACAATCGCGCCCAAGTGAATAAGTTGATCATTCGTCTATTCTGTTGAATGAGACCACTAGGGTCCTTTGCTTATCCACATGGGATTCAACTTTTATATTCGTCTGATGCTATACACGTACATTGGGATTTACACTTATCTCCGAAAAGTTGTTGTGGCTATAAGCTTGATTGGAGACTCGTCTCCTATAGCTTTATAGACACACAATGTTTCAAAAGTTGTCTGTCACTTTTGAAACTCGCTTTTCGGATCTTTGTAACCTGGGAAGCTACTTCCCTCGTATAGCAACTTGCGTGCATCATGCTTTTAACATTTGCTTGTCATGACGCCGCTTGCAGTATTTGGGGAACTTGTGAGTATCATGATTTTTAAGAGATTGAGAATTTTTCAACCTTGAGGTAAGGCTCTGCATTTTGACCTTGTCTGCATCGTCAAGCTGTGGGCTGAGAGCATTTGAGATAGACAGAGAGCCTGAAAAAATTCTTTCCCCACCCACCCACCCGGGGATGTCTAAGGCGCGCTCACTCGTGTACGGTGATGCGTGACCTTGGAGGCCCTGGGAGGGCTTTTGGATTCTCCCGACTTGTGGCATTGCCATCGGAAGAAAAAAAGGAACAATCGCGCCCAAGTGAATAAGTTGATCATTCGTCTATTCTGTTGAATGAGACCACTAGGGTCCTTTGCTTATCCACATGGGATTCAACTTTTATATTCGTCTGATGCTATACACGTACATTGGGATTTACACTTATCTCCGAAAAGTTGTTGTGGCTATAACAGTTTATGTGGAAACACTAAAACAAAAAGTGTGTGTGTGTGTGTGTGTGTGCGTGAATGCAAACGGAGCTGGTCCGTGGTCGTGAAGAGAGGGAACCGTTCACAACGCCTACATGGCTGCTTACACAACCTTCACAAGCAGGCCATGTCGTCCATACAATGATGCCATTGAATCAAAAAGAAAAATATAAATAAATAAAAAAAATCATATATATATATATATGTATATCTATATATATACATATGTGTACATATTTTTATATATGCTAGGCGTAGCTGGCAGGGCCTAGCTTGCATCACCTGTCTGCTCGCCCCCTGCGCAGCCCAGCTGGGAGGTGGCTAGAGACTTGCAGATGGGTCAGTGTAAAGGACCACCCTGAAGGACAGAGCAAACTGGGCACCAGTCTTGAACTCAGCTGGCTGATCGCAGATATTGTGCTTACCCGGACACCAAATTTTTGAGGATGCCCCCATCGGCTTTGTCTCTCAATATGCTAAAATTGTGGTGCAAATCAAGTCCTTGCTGCGTTCAAGCTACCCTGAGGAGGAACTAGGAGACCAAAACATGAGCCTCATGGAGGCCTGCCAAGCCTCCTCGGACTTCCCTCTGAGAGGGCGATCCAACACGTGGGATATGGGGGCGTTCAAAAATTTCCTAAGTGCCAACTTTGGAGCTTTAAACCGATACTTTGGTGCAATCACAACTGCGTGTTCGACTGGACCCACCTTTGGCGTGTGTGTCTTTGTCACGAGCAGAGCGTCGGGCTTCCTGTTCCGAAGCGAGGCTGGATTCGCTCGTGCAACCTCATCATTCACACGTGGACTGGGCCCGTTGATCTTTCTCACACCACCCTATCCGGATGGAGTTGGTGCTTGTTTTCAAATGGCGGCTTGCTCGGCGAGGAATATCTGCGCACGCAAGCCAGCCTGTGGAGCATAGACGGCCCTGGCGTCGCTCGAGCCCCGCACAAACAGGCCTTTCGGGAGCAGAGGGTTGCTGACATCCTTTTACCTCAGGATCGCAAAGTCGGGATCAACCTGTTTGCCAAGCCCACACTGGCCACTGCCTGGGTGCTAAAAGCCTCTTGGAAAGACGGACAGGACATTCTGTACCGAGATCTTAAAAATGAGAGCCAAGGGCGTACCCCCTACTTTTGCTCTAAGTATTATTGGGGCACCGTGCCGGACTTACAAGCGCAAGGACTCACCCTGGATCCTCTTCCTAGCGCAGTATATTGTGTGCCCTATCAAGCAGCAAAAGAAAGTGACGGTGCGGCCAAGTACCTCACACACCTCCTGGGTGATGCCAAACTGCTGGCACCGCCGAAGCGAGGACCGGCGCCGAGGGTCGACGGTTTTTTTCAACACAAGGCTGGCATTGACCAAGCCTTGCAAGGCCTCGTTCCAGCGCGAGCAAGTGAAGCCACTCTGGAAACTGCTATCGATGACTCCCCGGGCAACAGCCCTGTGCCCGCGGGAGTCCAAAGTTCCGCGGCGGCTTGCCAACCCAAGGTGGCCAGTTCTCAGCAGCCGGTTCACGGCTTGCGCGCCTGCACGCCCCGCTCTAATCCAACCAAGGCCGGGAGATGGGGAGCGCCCGGGCACATGCCTGCTCCCAAGGCGCGTGGTTGGGTGGCGGGTCCAGCGAAG